TATATATTTATATTTATTATTATTATTATTCTTTTTGTATTTTTCAAGGTTTATACTAAAAATAAAAATATATAGACCATGACAACTTTAAACTGTGTGAGTAAAAAATTACATGTCCACAAAAAGAAATAATGACATAAAAATAAGATAAAAGAAAATAAATATTGAAAAAAAAATGTTAGACATATCTAAAAACGAGAAATAAAATATAAGAGTCATGTCGTAATCAAAGAATCGTTTATATCGTGTCAACTTTTGCGCTTTGCGATAAATATGAATTATTATTTCACTTTGTGGCTATTTTTAGGTTCCAATGACACCTATGAAAATAGTGCAAAAATAAAATTATCACTACGAGAATTGAGAAAATGTTAATCTTTTTTCATGTCGTGTTTCTTAATTAATATCTGATGATTATCTATAATTATTTAGAAGGTTTAAATATTAAGGTTATTTACATATAGTTCAAATAACTCATATATTTAACATGATTAATGTCAAATATCAAAATGGAGTAAAAAAAATTCGCTAGCTAAAGAATTTTTTATATTTTTAGATAGCCAACTAAAATGAGTTTTGAATTAACAATAATATTTTCAATTACATTATTATAAAAATAATTATTATTGAAAAGTAATGTTTTAGAAACTAAAATTTTAAGAAAGAAATATTTTTTAAGAGATATCAACACACTAAATAAGAGTTCAAGTAGTAGTAAAAGAGTTAAGTCTTATCCAAAGAGTCATTCATTATCTCAACATTTGATTGTTTTGCCATAAATATGAGTTATTATTTTGTTTCTTGACTATTTTTAGGATCCAATAAGAACAACAAGAATGATATCAAAAAAGAAAAATAGAAGATATGGTTAATTTTTTTCATGTAGTTAATATCCAATGATTATCTATATTTACTAAGAAATTGTAAATTTTAAGATTATTTACATACAATCTAAATAACTTAAATATTTGACATAATTAGTGTCCGCGCGTCCGCACGGGTACTAATACTAGTACTTGGAGAAAAACCGATAGTGAGCTAAATAAAAGAAACCGAACAATGAAATTAATGTTTTTTTAGTTTGATAATAAAGAAAGAAAATTGAACTGAGTTGATGTATAAATATATTTATTTTCACAAACTTTTAAAAATATTATAAATGTAATAACTGTTTTAAAATATTTTCTAGGCATAGTAGTGATCCCTACTCATATGCCTGGACAAATACTATTTTGTTTGGGTACTTTCTCATTGTTAAAATACTTAGTTTTTTTGTTCTTTCATGTTTACAAGCTCACATATCTTTTCCGGTTATGAGATATATACTGCTCCCTCTGTCTAATTTATGTGCATGTTTTTATTTATGCTATTTGCTGGAATAAAATAGGATGGATGTCCCCTTTTGTCTATCCAAAAATAATTATATTTTTAAATTTAAAATAATTTATCTTTAGATTTTTTTATCCTTAATGAGATGATTTATAGTCATATATTTTTTTTTTAATTTTAGAACATAAAATTTTAAAAATCATCTTTTTTTTGAAAGCTTCGTGCCTAATAAAATTATATGCATAAATTGAAAACGCTGAAGTAACATTTTATAAAAAAATATTATTATTACTTACTACATATGATGGGGACGAGTACCCTACTGACCAAAAAAAAAAGGACGAGTACCCAATTGGAAATACGAAAAAAGGGGGTACCCAACTGAAAATGGCTTAAAGCTTAAAAAGAGAATTTCAACTTGAGGCGAAGAGACCAAGAATAAAGATTGCGTAGAGAACACATAGACCTAAAATGTGGTAAATAGCTAAATCCTACTAGATTATATCTTCAATATTCCTGCCAATTAACGCTACTTCAAATTCTTGCCAATTAATTGAAGTAGCTCATCACACCCGGCAAGTTGACATTAGTATAAAAGTTTAATAGCGCATTTGCATCTATACTCGTTTTTGTGTCATGTTTTAACTTGTGCCCGCTTTGTAAAAGAAATTACAAGTGTACCCGCTTTTTCGCATAACTTCAGCATACGGGGCTGAAGTAGCAAAGACAATCACGCAAAATTCCAGCATTCTAGTAGCCGGGCCTGAAGAAGTTTTTGTTTTGTAACTGGCGAACTTCAGCTCTAGAGCTGAAGTTTTTGTTTTGTAACTCGTGAACTTCAGCTCTAGAGCTGAAGTTTTTGTTTTTGTAACTGGCGAACTTCAGCTCTAGAGCTGAAGTTTTTGGTTTTAACTGGCAAACTTCAACTTTAGAGCTGAAGTTTTTGGTTTTGTAACTGGTGAACTTCAGCTGAAGTTCTAAGCTTTGCTCTTCCAATATATGATATCAAAAGATCAATTGGACATTTTTTAAGAGAAATGTTGTCCTGGGTGCAAACAGTTTCAGAAAAAAAGGCCGAAAACTTGAACATCTTTAGTCTCAGCAAATTTACAGCCAATGAAATATGACCTCTTTCTGTTTGTTGCTTCTCAAACCTTCAGTACAGAAAGGAAATTCAGTTACATTTGAATCTTTGTTCAAACTTTCAAGGAAGACATTTAACTACATTTGTTCACTTGTGAAAGAAGAGATGATGGCAAAACAACGAACTTAACTGATCTCAGCGGCAAATTTCTGGTACTTTTGTACAGAGATGTATTAATGGTTTTAACTATAGTCAAATTTATACATAGCCGTAACAGATTTCTTGCAGAAAAGGGAGAAGGAGAAGTTTGAGAAAGAAGAGGCGGATATAACTTTAAGGAGGAGAAAGGAGGCTGAAGTTATTTAAAAAGTGGGTACAAGTTAAACGTTTTTTAAAAAATGGATATAAGTTAAATGGGGGCGACCAAATAGGGCACCCCGTGCAATTTTTACGTATTTTTGTTGTTGCTAAAAATGCTTCCTTTTTTTCTTCTTCAAAAGTTAGGATGTATGACCAAGATTTTAGATGAAAAGAATGCTTTAGAATATAAGCTGAAATAATTTTTTAAAAACGGAAAAAATAATTTTTTCCCTTAAAGCACTTTTGTTGAAAAATACTTTTTTGTTGCTCAAAAATAATTTTCAAATTGAATAGCCAAATAAAAATTGTTTCTCACTAAAGAGTTTGAGTGAAGGAGAAAATAAGTGTCACACCTCCTTTTTGCGCGCCTACCCCGAGGGATAAATGCGTGAGAGAGTTTTTCCAATTTTAAGTGACATTATTCGAAAATGGGATTATTTATTCATTTCAGAGTCGCCACTTGGGAAAGGTTTGGATTTTGGTGTCCCAAGTCACCGGTTAATCTTGAATCCCAAATCGAGGAAATTTTCGACTTTCCAAATGAAGTCTGCGAACCAGAAATTCTAAGTAAGGAATTTTGTTGATCCGAGGGAATGTGTTAGGCACCCACGGATCCCGTGGTTCTAGCACGGTCGCTTAAATTGTTATAATGACTAAATATCTGATTTTAATACATGTTATAACTTGTGTGCTTTTATTAAGTTTAAACCGCTTTTATTATTATTTTTTAATAGAATTGCAACGTCGTGAAAATGCATCTCGAACCACGTCACAATCAATGCACCCGTGGTTGTTAATACGTTCCGACTCCGTTGAGATTTGGATTTGGGTCACATAAATGCGCACCCGAATTTAAGCATGTAATTTAATTAAAATCGCGTCTAAAGAGTTTAACGCGTTATTATCTTTGGGGAAAACCGTGAAGTTCGCTAGACGGCCCATCCCAGAAATCTAAGTATTTATTATGACCAATTATTGAGGGCCCCGCAATTTGCATTTTTATTTGGCGAGGCTCGTCTCATTAATTTTAAAAGGATAATCTTAGAATGACTACATTTTCTATTTTTCGTTCGTCTCAAAAATGAAAGGAGAAAATATATATGCTAATTAAATCACATGC